CACAAAGAGATATATGGCTCAGGAGAGAAAGGTCAGCCCTCGTGGAAGATGAATTGGAAAAGACAAAAAAAAAAAACAAACAACCCCTGTCTCAGGTGCAGAACCTGCTGCTCGACTGGCAAACACCAACACTGCCATTTCCTCACATCTCTATGGTGACAAACGCCGTGTAATTACCAAGATGTTTCCTGGGCTGTTTTCTGTCTGTCGCTCCCTGCCCCAGTCCCTGTCATTACTTATCAGGCCACTTAGCAGAGCTATTTTAGAGTAAAGAGTGAGGAGTCTTCCCATTTCTTTTTGTCGTTCCCAGCGAGGAAAGACTAAACTCTGTGAGCCTGGGAGGGGGTGAGACCACTCTTAGGAGTTTGGATTTGCATTTGTCAGAGAAGCAGCCTGAACATTTCACTGGCATGAGTCACAACTGAACCGCTACCTCAATCAGAACTTCCCTTTTAAGGCGTGTTACAGGAAGAACTCACACCACTCACTAAACAAAGCTGAGCCCCACAGCTCAGCCAGCCAAGACTTTAAAACCACCTTCTTCCATCTCCTGCTCAGGAGAGTTCATCCCACTCTGTCCTTTCTCAGCACCAGTTGCTGATACTCGAGAGAGCTATTTCTAGCTGGGAAATAGTGATGGCACTTAAAATTTCCACAAAAATAAAGATATTTTTTTTGCTTGTCTGCTATATATACACACACATGTCATCTCTCACACAGCAATGAGACTTGTGATTTCGGGGTTGTCCTGCAGCCAGGAGTTGGACTCGATGATCCTTGTGGGTCCCTTCCAACTCAGAATATCCTGTGATTCTGTGAGACACACGAAGAGCAGCTCGAAAAAAAATTCAAAGGGAATTCAAGTTATTTCTCAGTTTGCCTTGTGAGGTTTCCCAGCACCCCCATCCAGGTGTGTTCAATGGAAGATGACTTCCAGGAAGGATGTCAAAGCAGTGGATGCAGGAACATCCTAGATGGTGTAAGTATATGAGGCAGGGGTGCAGTATTTCTTTTCCTAGTGGGCTGTACACAGCAATGTAGGCATGATCACTTCAAATTCTGAATAAAAAGAGACCTAAACTCTTAAGTGAGACTCTCTAGAGAGAAAAGAAAAAGCAAAGGGTGACCATTTCTGGCACACACACCTTAGAACCACAGCCTGACCTAAAGCCACCAAGCACTGAGAGCCATCCTTAGCCCACAAATCCAGAAATTTGGTGGGTTTAACATTAAACATTGTTATCCAATAGTATCATGTGTCAGAAGTAACTAAGCTTCACTAGAACCCACCCCTTTCCAAAAAGCAGGATGGAAAGCAGAGCCTTAATCAGCTTCTATTCATAAGCACTTCCATTGTAAAACACAAAGCCTTGGCGTGGCCTCCAGCTTGGCATCAACAGCATGGCAGGGAAACAAAATAAGGCACAGAATGGAACATGTCTGAGAGCTAGAAAGGCACACAAAACAGCTCAGCACAGAGCACAGCGTGGCAGAAAGAGGTGTGTGGGTCAGGTCAAGGTAGAGAGCTTGTTTTGGTGGGTGGAGAATGATGAGGAGACTGTCCAGCTGCAGCCTTTTGTGCAGCAGAAGGCAAAAAAAAATACAGGGTAGAAAGGAAGCGAATGTGTTTGTGGCCTGTGTGAAAATTTCCCTCTCACTTCTTCTTGCCTCTGTTCATTTCCTGTGATTTGGGCACTTTGATCTGTGTCTGCTAATGAAGAGGAGAGAGGGTTTGATGTGGAACTGGTCTCTGAGGTTGTTGGCAGCACACAGCCCAAAGAGGAGCAGAGAACAGAAGAACTGGGAATCCTGAGAGCAGGAACACTCGGCTGAGGACGACAAAGCTGGACCCAATGGCAGGGACCTGCCCCCAACTCAGCAATATCTATTCCACCTCCCTGCAGGACCCACAAACAAGTCACTCTCAACCCCTGAATGCAAAGGGACGAAGAGGCACATTCCAAAGAGTCAAATCCACTCACAAATCCAACAGAAAATTGGTTGATCTGAGCAGACACAGCCAGGGCACGACTGTGAGAGGTTCTGGAGGAAATAGGGGCTTCTTTGTAACCACGAGAGGATGAAGAACAAAGTGTCACAGGGCTGGGGGTTTTTGGACAGAGCCTATTCCCTTGGCCTTTTTTTTTTTGGTGAGGAAATATTGAGGGTTTGGGGTGGTGGTTTGTTTGTTTTGCTGTGCTAAGACACCCCCCCACACACACAGAGAGATTTTTATAGCTGTGAAGAGAAACGAAGACTTCCACTTTTAGCAGTGAGTCAAGTGAGAGAGCACCTGATAACAAACTGATTTCCCTTCTGGCTATAAAATAGTGAGTCTAAGGAGGGGGGGAAGCCCCTTCTTCAGCCATTGTTCTTTGCAAAGCCATTGTGTCATTTTGCAAAGGACACATCTGGAAAGCAATAAAGCAGCAGCTTTTCTGTATATTTGATCTTCTGATTCATCCCACGGGGAAAATCATTATTTCCTGGAAGGAAATTGTCAGATGGGGGTATTCCCTGTGAAAATTCCAACAGGAGGGATTCCCATTCTCTAGCAGACTCTGCTTTGCAGTTACAAGGGGAATTCAAAAGTTATCTGGCAATCTCAGAGCATCCTGTGGCTCCCTGTAGTGAAGAATGGCAAATCCACAGCTCAGAGGACATCTCTGGATTGGGATTTGTGCTCATGGCACAGAGTTCTTCCCTAAGATTCTGTTTCTTCTGGATATGGGCAATATCCCTTCTAGGGCTGTACTTGGAGACAGTGGATCTCCAGGTGTGAAGAAGCACATCAAGAAGAAATGAGGATATTCTGTGTGTTATTTCTGGATGAACAAAACCTCTGTGATTAGCAGTGATGCAAAATCCCCTCATTTTAGACCAGGTAGAAGAGAGGGATGGAATTTTATAGCTGCTGACTGCAATGTGTCTTTATGTGTGCCAAGAGTGAGGGAAGGATCAGCCAAGGCTGGTAGAGATCTAATTTCAGAGTCTGGAACAGAACCCACACCCAGAGCTGTTTTTTGTTTGTTTGTTTGTTTGTTTGTTTTTCCCTAAATCCTACTGAAGGTTTTGAGACACAAATCCCTGCCTGGAGCCTCCTGCAAAGAGCAGGAGCAGACAGACACACAGTGTCTCTGTCTGGCTTTATTTCACATGGGTTTCTTGTTTACCTGGCTGCTATGGTCACTTTCCATTTTAAATAATTCTCCTTTTTTTTTTTTTCCTTCTTTTTGGCTGAGTAAATAACAGTGAACAAACCACCAACTGTTCATAATCCACTGAGAAAACAAGCAGCTCTGTTCTTGGGGTGAGGGACCCAGAGGCAGCGATGGCAGGAGCCCGAGAGCCCAGACAGCACTTGAAGGGATTTTCCCGAGGGTGTGTGTTCCTTCCAGTCCAGGAGGTAGATGTGCTCCTCCACAGAAGGACTGAGGCTCTCGAGCCCTCGGGAGAGCACCAAGGAACCTGTAGTACAGACACACTGTTGGAAAATATGAGAAACACACGTAGGAGTTGGAAATAACTGGCCAGACAGGGACAGTTGTGTGTGTGGCACTTGGCAGAAAAGGCTGTTTCTGAAACAGGCTTGTTAGTAGACATTTCCATTGTATATTTATCTATAAAATACATTTACAAAACTGGAGGAAAGCTGCAGAGGCCTCTGAAGGAAGATGGATTTCTGGAGAATTGGAACATAACCCTTAATTTGAGCATAATGGACGTATAGGAATAAATGTCTTGTGCGAATTCCACGAGGATTTTGTGGCTAATCCTCCTGGAACCACAAAAGCATTACGGACACCAGCCAGTTTGCAGGCTTCTGCTGATGCACAAATCCTGAATTTCAATTTAAAAGCAGCCTCACTGTAATGTA